GGCTCGGGAACTTGGGTACGAGAGGGGAAGGTCCTAAAATGAGCACCCCCGCTCGCCCGATCAAAGGATCGGCCTCTACTAAGCATGATATGTTGTTTAATAAACACATGTGTTCTTATTTCGATTATTCAGCTAACTTTACTATATGACGCACACAAGCAAGTATAGACTAAGTCGCGAGATTTGGAACAAATTCAACTCATGTTTGCTTTCGAAAATGGTTTGAAATTGCCACCCTCAAGTGGGCTAAAATGCGGATTTGCCACCTCAAGTGGGCTTAAAACATGATTTGCCACTTCGCAAAGTGGGCTTAAAACATTCATTTGATAAATTGTTCCAATTCAGGCAACCAAGCCTCCACCCACAGGCATTCATGCAGTTTATCACATAAGCAAATAGCCTCATGGCAAGCATGCTATCATGACAATACTCACACTCATGCAAGTATGCTAAAGCGTAACACTTACAGTGTACGCCGAGCCAAAACAGAAAACTAGTTAGAAATATACATGATTCCTAACTATGCTAACATGCCTAATGCAACACATGCAATAATGCAACTAAATAGGCTCGGCTATCTAAGATGGCTTATAAATGCAACAATTTGATACATGTATTCAAATAAGTATTGAAATACGATGCAGTTTGGATGATGCGCCGAGGCCGGTGCATGCAAGGCAAATGAATGATGCAAACATGCAAGCATAAGGTATGCTAATCAAAACGTGCCCTAAACTAACCATCGAAAGCGGTTAAGTAAAAGGGAGAAAGACGTGGGGTTGGAAGACATGCACAAACACACGCACCCTTATTACAACATTATGCCCTCGCCAAGGAGGGTCCAAACAATTAAGCTAAGTTACTATAAGCTAAGCTAATTATTACAAATTAACTAATTAACTATTCTAAGCTAATTAATTATTACAAACCAAATTGAAACAAATAGCTATGCTAAGCTAATTAAAACATTACAACACAAATTGAATAATCAGCTACACTAAGCTAATTAAAACAATAAAATGGCCTCACAGGCGAGGGAGACATGCATGCTTGGTTGGTTTTTCCCGAAAATCCGTCATTTTGCCATCGGTTGCCTCTGTTTACACTTGCCTTAACCTCTGAAAATTTGAAACAACTTCTAGACTGCTTCTGCCTTAACTCAGATACACTTTTGCGCAAAAATGGACTGGTGGCTAGTCGGCCACTAAAAGTGGCTGCCGGCCACCCTAACTTACCAATCGACTAGTATAAGTGGCCGGTTCTGCTACCTCAAGTGGCCGGTCGGCCACCTGCTTTTGCAGGCTTCTGGTTTCATTGCAACAGAGAACAACATAGGCATCTCAATGTATTTGCAAGGAAGTGTGTACACTACCACCCTCCTCATCATTTCTCAAGCTCAAAGGAGTGTGGCACTTGGCTCTCAAGCCACCAATCAAGCATCTCAATGCATGATGGCCAAAGGACCGAGCTTGTACAAGCTTAATGAATGCAAAAAAAGACTCAAATGGCTGCCACCCTATCATGCATGATCAAGGGTGACGGCGACCAAGAAATATGACATGTTTCATCACTTTGAGTATGAAACGTCCCACACTTCTTGTGTTTGGATTAACGTCCGATCCAAACACATGCAATGCAACACACATGTTTATCTTGTTCATGTTTTACTTGTCTCATTTTGTTTACACATTTTAGCACTACCAAACCATCCTTTTGTTGGTTAAGTCCAAAGTGATTGTCCTCTAATGCGAGAGGGGTTAACCAAAGAATGATTAAGACATGAGAGAGATCATGTCTTTGACTAGTAGAAATCCTCAAAAGAAGGTTAAAGCCATTGAGCACAAGCTCTATCTCAAGCTTAAACACAATCATAAGGTTAACCAACCTCAAAACAAATAGAAAAATGAAGAAATGAAGGAGGTTGCAGACTTTTTAGTGCTGAAATGGCATGCTCAAGACACTAAATCATGCAAGCAACACATGCAAGACATATTCAAAGCCAAAAGCATCAAAGCTAGTGAAGAACACTACACTAGAGGCATGCAATACAAAGCTTAATTGACTAAACCAGCTCTGGACAGAGCCTAAACATGCCAAAACAATGGCCAAAACATGCTTAGATAGAAGCATAAAAGGCAAGAAAAACATGCTCATTTGTTAGCTCGCAAGCAAGGCTCAAAGCACTACTCTCAAAAGCAATGAAAGAGTAAAATACATGCGCACATGGCAGAGGTTATGGTGCTGAAATTACATGCAAAATGAGGTTATAACATGCAAATAACTCAAACACCTCATGCTCAAGGCGTCAAAGTAATGGACTAGTGAAGATCGTTACACTATAGCCATTCAAACTAAGCCTTGAAGGACTTAACCGACCCAAAACAAGATTTAAAGCATGTCAAAACATTAGCAAAAATGATAGGCTAACTCATTAGGTATGCTAGACTAGTAAGCATAATTACACTACAAGTGCAAGAAGCAAGCAACAAGAGCTCCAACCAACCAAAAACAGAGTTGAGACATGTCAAAATAAGGCCTAAAACAAGCTTGAAATAAGCTAACACAAGCCACAAAAACATGCTACTTTGTATTGCCAACTAGGCATGGAAGAGAGAGACAAGGACGGAGGCCACCCCCTTCTATTTTGGACCTCAAAACACACTTTTTACCATTGAAATTACTCTAAATTTCAGTGGTTTAAAGGCCTAAGAAGTTTGACTTTTACATGCTAAGAGATGATGGAAAGGCACATACAAATAGGCAACAAGAAGGGGGATACAACCCCTTAGCACAAAATGGCTTTAAACTAACATGTTTAGGCCCAAAATTCAGAACTTTTTGTAGTTGAAAACTAGGCTCAAACAGCACAAAAAGATGGCAAAGCAAGAGTGTACAAAGAGCTTAAAAGAGGTAAGACTTATCCCTTTGAAGCACAGCAACAAAATAGCCAAAATTCTGAGCCAAAACCAAGCTTAAGACCTCAAACCAAGCCTCAAAGAACCTTAGCCCCAAGGTGAAGGTATTTGGTTAAGGGTCTCTTTGCAAGAGTGTAGAGAATTCTCATTTTCAAGCACAATATAGGGAGAGAAAGAGGATTCTAGAGAGAGAGAGAGAGAGAGGAATTTTGATCCAAAATTATAGAGAGAGAAAGAGAGATTTTAGAGAGAGAGACTCCCAAACTTTCTAACCCTCAAAACCATAGAGAATGTCCTCCATATATAGCAAGCCTTGGTCGAAACATCTGAATTGGGACAGCTGGAGGTTGTGTAGAACAGCTGGAGGGAAAAGATCTGCAAAAAGTCTGAGTTTGGGACATTAGTGGCTGACTGGCCACTTTTCTGGCCCACCGGTCACCCCTATGGCCGACAGCAAAATTCTGCTCTCCAGGTCCAACGTCAAATGGGCATATGGCCTTCATCTGGACTCCTTTTCAGGTCATTCTTGTGCCTAAATTGAAGCATCAGAAGTCTTCTTTCCAATGGTGCAGCCTCACATCAAAATTCCAAGTGTGGTAAGAGATATGCCTCTTTTAGTGAAGATTACTCAGTTTTGGCTCAACCGGATTCATGCCGAACTTCTCCCAAACTAGTTTTCTTCTCTGCTCTCTCATTTCTTCAACTCCAAACCTCCAAATAAGGTGTTTTGAAAGATTTTTCAAAAAGTTCACCTCTCTTTCATGCATTTCTACTTTGTCCTTACTCGGTTTACCGAAAGTGCAACATTTAATGAAATGCCAGCTTCGGATCATCGTAGAAACTTTTTCCAAACATATTTTGAAAGAGATGGTTTTAAGGTATAAAAATCATTTTGGTCAAAATAGTTTTGGTCCAAAATGGGGTGTAAGGTTTGGATTTGACACTCTTCTTGCCGAAGAAATCGAACCTTTGCATAGCATAGCCTACACACCTTTCATCACCAAGTAAGCAATTAGTGGCACCCAAGTCTTAAGGGCGGTCAAAAATGGGGTGTCTACAGATATGCTTCCGCTTATGGCCCTATTATTATAATTATTCTGTATGTTCATATGAGGCCGCAGGTAATCAAGTGATTACTGGCCGGTTATGGTCTAAACCTTTAGGGGCTAGTTTGGGTCGTGACATATGCACATCTGATTGTTGTCAGAGTGTCCATCCATCATAGACAAGATTTTATGTCTTGCTAAATTGTCCACCAACAAATCAACTACAGGCATGGGATACTCATCCTTTAGGGTTGCCAAATTCAAATTTCAGAAGTCAATGCATACCTTCAATTTGCCATTCTTCTTTATCACAGTCACGATATTGGATAGCCACTCAACATATCTGGCTGTTCTAATCACTACAACAAAACTGACTTTTTACGGCGCCACATCAACGACATACAATAAATGCATGCCGTAGTTTCTCACTTTTACGACTTACTTTTTTTACACGTCGTAAATACTTTTCCAACCACGGCCTGTCTATTGCGTAGGCCGTGAATGCTAATAATGATAATTTTTTTACGACTTGCAATGTTAGTCGTAAATAATAAAACTTTCTACGACGTGCATATCGCATGCCGTTAATACATCAACTATATACGACATGCGTATACCAATCGTTAAAAATATTGAACAAAAAAAGTCAGTCTTTAAAAATATTATACTTTTTACGGCGCACAAAAAGTCAGTCGTTAAAAAATATATTTTTCACGACGCACATATGCTAGTCGTTAAAAATATTTTAATTTTCATGACGCAATTTGTGTCGTGAATAATATTACCCCAAAAAAAAGGCGCCAAAATGAAAATATTGAGTGCCAAAGGCGCAAAATAAAATAAAATAAAATAAAATAAAAAAATCAAAATTGATTAGCTCTTGGCTTTTTACAGTCGAAAGGAATCAGGGTTAATCCAAAGGAGCATAGAAGGGAGGGAGAGAGAGAGAGAGAGAGAGAGAGAGGGGGGGGAAGTGACTGACCACACAACTCTTGCTCCACCATTGTAGCAACCTCTTTCTGCAAAAGAAACAAAAGAAGAAATGGGAAAGGAGAAGCCAAAATCCATAGGAGTATGGCCTGCAGTCAAACCCTTCGTCAATAGTGAAGCGTCTGGCATGCTCGCTACCTGTGTTATCCAACTCATCGACATGATCAAGGTACCCTACTTCTTCTTCTTCTTCTTCTTCTTCTTCTTCTTCTTCTTCTTCATACTCTCTCACTCTCTCGCTTTCTCTCCCCATCAGTTAAATCTCGCATCTTTGTCCTCTCTTTCAAGGGTTTCAGATCTTCGACTATGTTAATGTTACATCTTCATTTTGTGCTTCTTTGTTCTATTTCTGTTCTGCTCACTTTTCACCCAAAACTCTTTGATTTTCTGCTTTGCTTTGCTTTGCCCTCACATCTTAGACCAAAAGCCTCCTTCTCCAACCTTCACTATGTTGAATTGTGAGCTGCAAGATGATTTTTTTATTTTTATTTTTATATGCTGGTTAGTTAAGATCAAAGTGGAAAGTTACATGCTAAATATGAAGAATTTTGTTTTTGGAATCTAAATCTAGTGTTTGATTTTGAGCAACTTCTTTTGATTTTTGACAAATCGAATGCACCATACCTGTTTGTAAATATGCCTCACTGAAAATTTCTTTTCATGTGGACTTTGCTAGTAATTGTTATTGACATACATTTTAGGCAACTATTGCGGAGGTACAAAGTCTTCTGGTTTCTGATAGAAAGAAGAGGCTTTACATTGTGCAACCGAGGGTCAGTTATGGGGTCCTGCACTTGTTCTTGCCGCACAACTTGGTGATCAGGTTGGTTGTATTGTTTTCTTTGTGCTTTTTATGCTTGCCTTGCAGCTTTGCCAATGGTTTTATGGTGAAGATTTGTCAGTTTGCTAAAGCATCTGTGTGTGTGTGTGTGTGTGTGTGTGGGGCTGTTCTGTTTCAATGCAGCTTTATGTCGACACTGTGAAGAAAATGGCGCTTCGTCAGCTAGTAACAGGCTCACCTTTGTGGACATTATGCCTGCTAATTGCTGGTCGACTAGCAGATGTCTTTTCTACAGACAACATGTCTGGTGGCAGCATTCCTGGTGCTGTAAATATGTCTCCACAGTCTGCGCAGGTAATATGTATTGAAATTTTGCAATTACTTCATAATGTGTACCTTATGTTTTGGATCATATGGAAGTTCTCCCATTTTTTTATATTTTTGCAGTCATTGATAGTGTTTGACTGGGAAAGGTGAAATAAGCTTTGACACCAATCTTGTCCATGTTGTCCTTGTTATATGTTTTGATTTTACAATTTTTTTCCCTGTGGATATATTTATCTCAGCAAGTTCAGACCTCAATTTTTTCTCTTTTGCTGTGAACTTCAGTATGGCACTAATTTTATGCTAGACAATTGGGAAGAGAATTTGGCAGTAATAACTGCTAATAGAACAAAAGATGATGAACTCGTGCTTATTCATCTTGGAGATTGCCTGTGGAAAGAGAGGAGTGAGGTACATTCTGTATATTATTCCTCTTCTTCAAGGTTTTAAGTGAACTTATTTTCATTCTTGCTACATTTTTTTTAGTCTTGTTTTGTGGCTTATTCTTACATGAAAGTTATGATTCAGAATATTGCGGCATACATTTGTTACTTAGTTGCAGAAGCAAACTTTGAACCATATTCGGACAGTGCAAGATTGTGTCTTATTGGAGCAGATCACTGGAAATTCCCTCGAACATATGCTAGTCCAGATGTTATTCAGGTGCCACTCAACTGTTGTTGTCTCCGTAGGTGTTTATCGTGTTTGAAAAGATGGAAAAATATCAATAACAACGTTTTTTTTTTCATGCATGATTCTATACTTAAAATTTCGCTAGTAGTTCTAGTCTTCTAGACTTCTGGTTGTTCGTCCAACCCTGAATGTTAAATGGAGGGTTTTGGAGGTTGCAGGATAATTATTATGGTCTCCTCCTGGAACCATGCATTATTTAGGGAGACTGTTTATAAGGTTTCCATAAATTATATGATTCTACATATCTAACTTCGTTGAGTTGCTGCTTAATGAAAGAGACCTTACCTTCTTTTAAATTTCGGGACCTTTCTCGTCTTCTTCTGTACTCTTTACTTCAATTGGTGGAGTTAGAAGTTGTTCAGCTTTGGTACCCTATGATTGGGTTCAGGAACTGAACTGAAAGCTCAATGGAAATGGCATATGATGCAGCCTTAGATGTTCACATTTCTACAAGTCACCATGTTTGTGTCTTGAAACTAATGTTTTGTAAGAATGTCTTAAAACTTATTTTCCATTGGAGATTCCCATCATCATCAAAGAAATTGAATCATTTTCCTACTGTATAGCATAATTTTCGTCAGAATCTTTTACCAATAAAAAAAAATCCAGAATCTTTGGTATTGTTCGCTAATTCTGCTAAATTTTTTGAACTACCTTTTTTTAAACAATGCCATTTTTCCTGGTTGTAGAGGTTGAATGATTTTCTTCCCCATGCTGCAAGTTCCGTAGATTGAGACATTGAATGCCAGTGAGGTCTCTGACATTTATCAATGATGCAGAAGTGCTCAATGTGATGGGCTAAACCTTCGATAAACTTATAAGATGAAAAATTTTAATTTTTTCTAAAAGAATGATGATGAAAATTTCTCTCTTTTGTATATGTCGTTTCTTAAATAGACTAGTCTATTTTTTGTTTACATTTAAGCAGCTGAATATAGCTGAACCTAACTCAGAATGTACTTGTGGATCCCTAGCACATCATATCTAGCCTGTCAGGAATCTGAATCTAAGTTGAGTAAACTGAAATCTTGAGCTAGGCTATTCATAACTATGTTCTTTACACCCCAATCTCTCTCTCAGATTGGAAGGACATCTCACTAAATTTGGCCTATCTGGTTTTTGGACAGAGGATAGAGTTATATGAATATTCTAAGGTGCTTGGAAACACTCAGTTTATCTTGCTACCATTTCAACCATATAAGTTTGTATATGCACATATGCTAGCTGATTTGGGAAAAGTAACAGAGTCATTGAAGTATGTATACAAAACCTTTTCTATCATTGAGGGTTCTATTTAGCTTTTGGTCTCTTATCATCATGAATTTAATTCAGGTACTGTCAAGCACTATTGAAATCTCTGAAAACTGGTCGAGCACCAGAAGTGGACACATGGAGACAATTAGTCTCATCACCTGAGGAGAGGATACGAACTCACCAACAGGTATATCTCTCTATCTTTGATTTGTATGTTATTAATGTGGGTATCTCTGCTAATCCTTGAACAAGGACTTCACACTTGCAGGGTGGATACTCCGTAAACTTGGCTCCGGCAAAATTAGTAGGCAAATAGCTCAATCTTTTCGATAGTACAGCTCATCGTGTTGTTGGGGGCCTACCTCCACCTATACCATCAACATCACAGGGTGCTGCATAGGCTAGTGAACATTATTACCAAACCATGGGGCCTAGAGTATCAACTAGTCAATCAACCATGGCAATGTCATCACTAATACCTTTAGCATCAATATAGAGCCCATAAGTGAATGGACAGCTGATGGCAATAGAATGACAGTGCATAACAAAAGTGTTTCAGAGCCAGATTTTGGCAAAACCCCGAGACTAAGATGGAATCTGATGATCAAATCATCCAGCTATTTTCAAAGGATTAGAGTTCTCAATAATAATGCTATTGTTCTTTCTGTTTTCTACAGGACTAAGGTGGAATCTGATGATCATGTGTTATTGCACTGTCTGTTTATTTGGTTACTTTGGTCACATGTTATTAGATGGCGGGGTTTAGTTTGGGCATTACTAGGCTCTGTTAATGACTTACTCCAATGGTGGGCCGGTGTAAACCTGTCAAAACTGGAGAGGAAAATCTAGAATTCCATTCTATTTACTGTTTTATGGTCAGTTTGGAAGCTTAGGAATTGATTTATTTCTTTGTGTTGTCATTGATTTATTTCTTTGTGTTGTGATTAGGTGGAGGAATCAAAGTTTGTGTTTGAAGCCAAGATAATCTAGAGAATGGAGCTTCTGGTGCTATCTACTCTTCAATGGAAGATGAATTCTCTGACCCACTTTTATTTGTTAATCACATTGTGAGGAGGTTTGGATTTAAGACAGATTTGCATTTGGAGTTTTTGTGGTGTATGGTCACACAATCTCCAGATTTATTCGTAAATCTTGAAAGTTGTCGATATGTTTAGAAAGTTAGATATGTATAGTTTTGGATGACTTAAATTTTTTGTAAAGTTTAGAACTTAAGAATATATTTTTTGAATGTTTGGAATGTATAGACAATTGTTGAATATTTATAATTTATGGATATAGTTTCTTTTTGATGTTTCAAACAATATTTTGGTGGTTGATTAATGTTTTGTGATGTTTGTTTGTAATATTTGTTAAATTGTACAAAATTGGTCGAATAGGACCTACTGAATTTTAAAAAAAGAAAAAAAAAACTGTATATTCTACGGCAGACATAATAAGTCGTTGTATTACATATTTTACGGCGTGCAAAAGTAGTCGTAGAAAAAGTAATAATGACGCACAAAATTTGTCGTTAAATAGTTTTAACGGCGTACTATAGCATGTCGTAGAAAAAGTAATAACGACGCACAAAATTTGTCGTTAAATAATTTTTAACGGCGTACTATAGCATGTCGTAGAAAAAGTAACAACGACGCACAAAATCTGTCGTTAAATAGTTTTTAACGATGTACGAAGCATGTCATTGAAAGTGAATGACTTTCCATGACTGGTCATAATATGACGTGTGCCTGCACGTCGTAGAAGGGTCAATGCACGCTGTAAAAACCTTTTTTTGTTGTAGTGCAAGCAATTGTGAAAGAGTATAGCTAGATACAATCCTATATATGTGAGTCAGAATTTTATCTACAATCAACCTTAACCAATATGGATCAAGGTTATGGCTCATACACTCTTAGAGCATATCAACAACACACACATTTGTAACTACAGAAGCTCAATCTAAGGCATGCAAAAATGCTAGCTCAATATTTCAAAAAATTCTTTTATCCTTCACACAATCTATATGTCTCTGTCATCATCAGCTATGAATTAACAACTTTCTTAAATGATAAGCATGAACAGATTTATGAACTTATCATTTCCACATTTCAATCATTATGTTCATTATGTTCTTAAAAATCTTCAGACTGTTGATTTCTCAAAGGGGGTGCTCATTATCTGATACTCAATGTGTATGCCTAAATCAGAATGGCATTAAAGTAACATTACAGAAACTAATTAAATAAGTGAAAAATGGTAGCTCCGGATCAGATTTCAATTATCATACAAAGAAAATAACATAATTCTTGGCGAAAATTAAAGAAGACAAAATGGTAGCTCACACAGTCACATTTCATGTTTCACCAAATTAAATCATCAGATTTCACCAAATCACATAGTATATCATCACCAAATCACAACATGTAATGACCTAGAATATTTTTTTTTTAAATAGCCAATGCATAATTTAATTGAGCAAATTTTCGAATTTGATTGTTGTGTAAATTCTGCGCGAAAACAGTTCGGTTTTGTATTTTTTAAAAATAGTTCCCGATCTCAGAAAATTATGAAATTTTTATATGTTGTTCCCATAT